AAATAAATTATGCAAACTAACTATAAATACTGACAAACACTTTTAGGATCTTGGTTTTAGAAGAAGCTTCACGATTTCCGAGCTTATAGCGATAAAGTAAACTATGTTTTCGAGGGGGCCAAATTTCCGAAGGGGGGGCCAAATTTCCTAGGAAATATGGCCCGGGGGGGCCAAATTTCCTGTGACACCGGCATAGTGGGTTTAAAAGACCAAGGTTTCGTAAAACATCCCAAGTCAGGGAAGAAACAGGTTTGATTGTTATACGTTGCTGACGTTGAGCTTCAATACGGATGGGTGATTTCCACCAAAATTTCTATGCTAACGTCTTGAGTACTTTGCCATCATTTAACGTGTAAAATAGTAGTTCAACAAAAGTGAAACACCTGCACATTTAGAATTTATAATTTAAACTAAACTAAGAAGTATAAAGTGATCAATGTTCACGAGCTAGAAATCGTGCAGCCTTTCAGCGCATAAACAGTGTAATGCATAAAACAGCGCATAAACAGATTCTTACAATTGTTCTCTATCAAATGAGAGTGATGAAGATTAACTTTGGGTAAGTGTCGCATTAATAAGTTTGTGTTACCTTCTGTCAGTTCTGCGCACATAGAGATAACAATGATAGTTTTGGATGAATTTGGCGAGAATGGACCAGTTAGTTCCATGATTGCTTTAGTGTTTTAAATGAGCTTGCATTATTTCTCTCATGTTATTTTATACAAGAATCACAGTCTTTTCCGTGTCAATCGCTATGTATTGTAAAAGGTCGAAATTTAATTGTACATCGTGGAAATACTGCATGTCTGGACAACAGGAACTCTTCTTTTTCAGAATCGGTAAATATGAAAATGTGCAAATTTAGATCCAATACAGGCTTAATTAATGAAAAATATTTTAGATCTAAGATATACTTAATGAAACTGTCTTGTAGCCACTTTTTTGTGCCACAACATGGGGACTACACCCATGATCTGATGAATTGCTTGACATGTTTCGATGACAATGTGTGAAATGGCTGTGCTACTGAAACGAAAACTGTATTCAAGAAATTTAAATGTTTTGCCAGTTGCTAAAAATCGTAAGGTCACAGCCATTCTTTTGTCCGGCCCAATGCTCTCCTGCATAACTGTACTTTGTTTTTGGATATGGTATGATACCTGGTCCACAACAAACCAGAAATGCTGTGAATTCATCCTGAAGAAATTTTGATAAGAAACGTCCTCTAGCTCTTTTACAAGATCAACATGCGGACTACACCCATGAAAGCGCTTGAATACAAAGAGTATTTTACACTTATAGTTGTTCACAAATGATGAAAAGTTCAAGAGATATTCAAGATTTTCTCGATATGAACTTCAGAATTTTGGCCAAGCGATGAGTAAATATATGATTGTTTCGGTTTGTGTAATGTCGAACGGTTATTTTGTGAGGATTTCAATGGTGGTTTTTATTTAAAAGGGGAATAAATACTCGCCGAGATATTTACAATAGAAAAATTAAGTCGTAATCTAATACGAAACCGTACTGTCGTCAAGGAGTTTTAATTACTTAATTGATATCGATTGACAATTGGGTCAATTGATGACCAATCGATAGTTACAAAAGTTATAGCCAATTTTATCGATTACTATCGATATTTATCGATATTTATCGATTTTTATCGACAAAATGGTTTCGATTCAGTTTGTCGATTTATATCCTAAATAATTGCCGCGTGTCGGCGTGTTCGAGCTAAATGGTACTTCTGTTCTCATTTTTCGAATGTACACATGTATCTGATCTGTATTATAGCTAGATGAAAACTTATTTTAATCCATTGTTACTGAACTCTGTTCAGAATTGAGTTTGTCACGACATTAAAGTGTGTATTAATTAAATTATGGCGTTACCTGATCGATTGCATGCAAATTAACAGAGGATTTTTTCATCAATGAAAATTAATAATAAATCGATGAAAGTCAGCAAAAGAAGCCATCGATCAAGCATTGATTTCCAACATCAATCAATTGATAAATATCGATTGGTATTAATTAATATTGATGCTCATCGATTATCGATTTCATCGATAAAGTACACCCGGGTATTTATATATCGTGAAAGCCTTATATCAAAATACTCAATTTTTATATACTCAAACTGAAACAGAGCCATTGTGCTTACACTGATTATGTTATGTGCGAAGCTTCAAAACTACAGCAAATTTTGTAAATAACATGATATATGAATATCAAACAAAATTTGAAAAATAAATGGCAGTACATACTATTGAAATTTAATACAACAAAATAGCAACCATTGTGATTCGAGATAGTGTTAGAGAAAAGCGACAAAAATGTTCGGGTTGTTGGTTGATCATAATGTACTTTTTCAGGTTTTAGGCTTCTGGGACATTTACATAAAACCATTAAATCATGACAAAAAGCTCTTAGACAATGTTTTGTATTGAAACAATCCTATATAGTTGTTTACTAAATGATAACGTGATTTTTACACACTTTATTCAAACCACGATTCAATAAAAAACACGGTTTGGAGCTTTTTTACGACCCGCGACTTTTTACATGCAACATTTTAACCATGACACGCGACTTTTTACCCGCGACCGTTAGTCAAACTCGCATAACTCCTAACCACTTGAAATTGCTGGCGTTGGAAACTTTAGTATTGTTGACAGATATTGTTGACTTCAGTATTGTTTACAGATATTGTTGACAGATATTTTTCAGCTGAAGTGTTATTTTCCTTTTTCCGCCAGAAAGTACAAGTGAACAAGCTGGACTCAACAAACTCGTTACCAATAAACCAAATTCGCCTGTATGGCCAGCAAAGGCAGAAAATTGCGACTTGCTTCGTCTTTGAACGTGGCGGTTTTAGAGCAACTGTCTATGAAACTTAACCCGTCCATGATTATGAAGGACTACCGGTCTCTAGTGGGCCGTCTTAAATATACCACTGAATACATACAAAATTTTGCACTCGAGAGAAACCCTATGTTGGTTTTACTTCAGAATTGGTGGTCTTCAAACCCGGAGACAAAGACAGTTGCTGTCTTACTAAATCTTTTATATTGTATGGAAAGGGATGATTGTGTTGACTTGTTGCGGCCTTATGAATTCTATGGTAAGTAAAGCTTCTTTGTAGTGTTCTGAAATGTGTTTCAATATACTTTTTAAATTAAGCCATTAGCCACCTATATTTGTTTTAGATCAATGTTATTCGAACGTTATTCACTGTACACATGGCATCTGAAGACGTTGCAAAACTGGCCTATATTTGAAATTAACATGTGTGGCCTAGGACGTGTCATATTGCAATAAATGCACGTGTATGTTTGTTTACTGAAAGCTTACTACATTGTATAGCAAGCAGCGCTTAGAAACCTTTGCGTCAGTATTTCAAAGAAAAATTCCGGCATAGCGGTCAGCTGGAACAGCGATTTCTCCTTCACACCCGAAAATCCAGCAAAAGGAGGTGCAAGCTGTTTCCGAAGATACTTTTCCGACTGTCCCGAAGTTTATCTTGCATTGTGCGTGATTAGCGTAATAATAGACCACTTCCACTTTGGCGGTTTTGTGTTAAGTGGAAACTCATGCTCGCGAAATCGGAAACTCGGACACAAATGTTTTGGTCATTTAGTAGATAAATTCGCTCGCTTTCATCACAAAACAATAGTCAAAATGGAAAATATGTCAGAAGAAGAGAAATTCAAAGCTGTGAAGCTGCCGGAGCTCAAAGCGCACCTACAAAATTGAGGAATTACCGTTAACAGTTTACCTAGTCAAACCCGGACTCGTAGCTATTGCTTGTGTCGTCAAAGAAATGAGTTTTCCATTGCTTTTTCAAGTCATTGAAGCCCAAGACCATTTAAATCTAAGCTGTCGTTTGAAAGTTCACGACATTCAGCTGCCCAATCTTTTTAAAATGAATGTTTTAAACAATTTTAAGCAGTCTCGCTTTGTTTGATAAATTTAATAATCATCTCGTATATCACTCGTCTGAATATGACAAGCAAAGTCTGGCAGCTTATAAATATATTTTACGTATCGTTCGCATTTTAATGTTGCATTTTATATGCTAGACAGAGATTAGGATTGTTGTTCTCTGCACCAGGTATTGCTGAAACGAACAGGGTTTAGATGACTTGTTCTTCAGTAGGACCAATCCATTTTTTCCAACAAAATGAAGGCCATACAAATATAGAACTATCGTTCGTCGGTTCATACATACAAATTTATCGCCTTTTTTGGCATGCACGTATCCAGCGCTCTCGTTTTGCGCTACGGTATCTAACCCCAGGAAAATGTAAAAAAAAGATGTCAAACATAGCAGAGCGTATCTAAGTACACGCGCTTGGGGTACTTGTAAAAGCGATTCATGGTCAACCTCGTACCCAGGGCCTGCCCGTCCAATTTTTTAACATGGCCGCCAAAGTGGGCGAGGCCCTGGTAAACGCTGGTCACGTGTCAGGAAAGATTCTTGGAGTATTAGCCTGGGAGCGGATTTTATGGAAAGATTTTCAGATTTTGACTATAGGTCATGGAGAGCGGATGTCTAGTTTCGAGCTCCGGCAATTTTGAGAATGTTCTTCGAGATTTAACAGTAAGCGATAAAGGAAAGTTCAAATGGAGCGGCACATTCGAAAATTTAGAAATTATGATGAACAATATACTTGAGAAACAGACAGTGTGGAATTCATACGGCGGAGATTGCAAGAAGCTGGAGCTTGGCGACCTATGTGTGAGATGGTATATGAAGAACAAATCGTTGACAATCAACGGAGAGGGAAGCGAAGATCTAAAGTTGCAGTTCAAAGCAGCTGTATGTGTGGCGGAATCTGATGCTGCAGCGAGTCAACAACCCAAAGTTAGCGAGGTCGTGGAGAGTGACGACAAACCCGAATGTGAGAGTGTATTACTTAGTTATAACCTTGGGAACCCTGCCACCCAAACTCCTGCCGTTTCTGCATCTGTTCTTGAACTAGTACAGAGTGTTGAAGAACGGCTGGAATGTAAGCTTGAAAAGTTGGCAAGCCAAATTGAAGAACTAAGCTCAGCAAGCTTACAGCAATTAAACCATGAACCCAACGATGCATCACAATCAACCGAGTATAGCGCTTTTCTAAAGAGCGAAAATACTTCATTAAAAAAACAAAACATGGTGCTCGCTGAACAAGTTAATGGCTTTAAAATGATGATATCGGATTTGAAGACGAAGATAAAAGATTTGGACAACTAGAAGAACAGCTTAGTTACAACGATAAAGATTTTACAGGAAGGTAAAAAATGTGAAGAGACCGGACCATTGAATGCTGTTAAAAGACAAAGTGATAATTCCCCAGCGGCAAAAAGCAATTCAAGCAGAGCGGTATGCACTAGCGGTATACAAACTCAGAATCGCTACTCTATTTTAAGTGAAATTGATAACGACGGCGAAGACACTTTATCGAGCCAAAAGAGATCTGAGAGTGGAATAACTCCAGTTGCAAAGGACACCGTAACTGTAACAGAAAACTCGGGAACGGAAAACAGTAAAGACATGGATTACAGGTCATCAGAAATTGTCCTTATTGGGGATTCCATCATTAAACATATTGACCCAAAAAAGCTTGCAAAGAGGAAAGTGAGCAAATACACGTATCCGGGGAAATCTGCAGAAGACATCGAAGCGGAACTTGGAACAATCAAAGTCAATTCGACGCCCTCGCACATAACTATTCACGCTGGGACAAATAATATACCAGCTGATTCAGCTGAGGTATGTGTCAGGAAAATTGAAAGCCTTGTTCTTAAGACCAAATCCAAATTTCCAGATTCAAAAATTGGATGATTTTTCCATAAACGACTGGAAATTAGCTCGAGTATCTCCGATTTATAAATCAGAAGACCGAAAAAAGTGTGAAAATTACCGTCCAATTTCGATTCTACCCATTATAAGCAAAGTATTCGAAAGAGAAGTGTTTACTCAAATTTATAAATATCTGAATGAAAACTCGCTATTATCAAAGTCTCAATCAGGATTTCGACCAAAACATGGAACTGTGGGCGTGCTTATTCAGATGTGTGACCAATGGCTAAGTGATATGGATAAAGGCAAAATAAATGGAGTAGTATTTTTGGATATTCGCAAAGCGTTTGATTCTATTAACCATAAGATTTTATTGAGAAAGCTAAAAAATCAATTTGGCATACATGATATTGAACTGAAATGGTTTGAGTCCTACCTAACGAATAGAGAGCAAGTTTGCTTGGTAAATGGCCACACATCCTTACCGAAGAAAATAAGATGCGGTGTCCCCCAGGGTTCAATTCTAGGACCATTGTTATTTTTACTTTATGTAAACGACATGCCAGATCACTTGAAAAAAACAACTCCGTATCTCTATGCAGATGATACTCAAATTTCGTCTTCCTCATATGATTTTGAAACATATATTAGCTCAAAATTTAAATGATGATCTAAATAATATTCAAGCTTCTACATCATCCCACCAAAACAAAAGTCATGTTTATTGCTTCATCTTATGACCTCATCAATAAAATTGGAAATACGCCAATATTGATGAATAATACCCCAGTCCCTCGAACCAGCAAATATACATGTTTGGACATTGACGAAAAATTAACTTGGGATGCACACATCGATTCGATATGTTCTAAAGTCAGTGCTGGAATTGGGGCTATGAAACGTATAAAGCCCTTTGTCCCACCTGCAACTCTGCAAACAATTTACAAAGCATTAATTCAACCCTACTTTGATTATTGTTCCCCTCTGTGGGATACCTGTGGAAAAACACTTCAAGATAAACTACAAAAATTTCAATCCTGTGCAGCTAGAGTGATTACTGGAGCCAGTTATGATATTAGGTCTACTGATGTTTTGGATGCTCTCGGTTGGCAAACACTTGATGTGAAACGTTTAGAAATCTGAACGAATGTTTCTGCAAAAGAAACACAATTCAATCTAATTATGATTTGCGTAGTAGCGATACAGATCTATGCTTACCTAAGCCTAATAGTGAATTTTTAAAGAAAACTTTTCGATATAGTGGTGCCATGCAATGGAATCATCTTTCTGAGGATTCAAAAAATTTAAAAGAAAAATACGTTTGGCATGAACACCTCCTTTGGATCGCACCAATTGTTAAGTTTTTATATAATTCCTTTTCTATTATCCTTTGCTTTCTTGTTTTTTCTATATAGTTTAACTTGTATATAGTTTAATGTGTATACTCTTTAATTTGTAAATAGTTATTGTGTGACGTCTCTCATGAAAAGCAGCTCACATTGATCGAGGCTAGCGTGTTTAAATAAAGTTTTACCATACCATACCACACCTTTTGGATATACACACCTTTCTCCATTTTACACACCTTTTGAATATACACACCTTTCTATGCTACACACCTTTTGAATATACACACCTTTCTCAATTTTACACACCTTTTGAATATACACACCTTTCCCAATTTTACACACCTTTTGAATATACACACCTTTCCCAATTTTACACACCTTTTGAATATACACACCTTTCTATGCTACACACATTTTGAATATACGCACCTTTCTCAATTTTACACACCGTTTGAATATACACAACGTTAGACCGAATAACAGTATATTGCATGCCAGCCTTTTTTTATGTGGCATATAAAATCTATTAAATCTATATCTGTATATTTGGGTGTTCAGCCGTGTCTGCGTGCATATGGAGTTCATATATAAATCCGTCCGTGAGTCTGAAGATTTATTTTTTGTTATATGGCGTGATAGACATGATAAGTGGATTATTATGACGTTATTAAAATATATTAACGTAAACAACAGCCTTGCAGGTGTAGCTAGCTATGTATTATAAGCTTTTGATTTAAAATCCAATGGAGTAAAGTCTATGATTTAAAGTCCGATGGAATCGGGTGCAAATGGAGAAAATTTCACACAAACACCGGCTTATTTCACCGGAATTCACCGGGCTTTAAATCGTGTACAAATAGCTATGTAGTTTAAATGTGTTAATTGGGGAAAAATAAGTAGGAGTCTACCGTTGGTTTTCGTCCTGGGTGAATATTTATGGTGAAAAAGCATAAAAATATTTCAAAGTATTATCACCGAATATTAAAGGATTATAAGATCACTAGTTCAGTTTCGATCAATTCGCTATGTTGAACAAGTGGTCCATGAGTGGTAAAAATTACAGACGTCAAATGAGTGATGGATCGATTCTCGCCGAACACATTTTTTATATTATAGCACCAAGAAAAATTTGGAAATTAATTCTTTTTTTCTCCAAAAATATTTTCTCAGGATGAAAGCCAACGATATATTCCTACTTACTTTACCCAAAAGAACACATACAAGGTATTTACACCGAATTTAAAGCAGAGTGAAATCCGCTCGTGCCTTATGTAAAATACTGCTCCGACCCACTAGTATAGTTCAGTTGCGATCAGTTTGGAACCCTGAACATTTGGTTCAGTGGTAAAAACTCTTGGCGTCAAATGAGTGGTGCATCGATCGATTCTCGCCGAATTATTTTTTTTTTACATTTTTCAATTAACTAAGCCATATTTAGAAATAACTTTTATGATTTTTTCTCCAAAATATTCTCCCAGGATCAATACCAACTGTATATTCGTGGTTACTTTCCCCATTGAACACTTATACGGTGCCGGATTAACCATACGGCAGAAGTGGCTTATGCCACGAGCCCCGCGCTTAATCTTTTCGATTAAAGTGAACCATGGTTATGAGTGGTTTGAGTTGTGATTCAAAGGCATAACCATCCAAGTTGAATGGTTATGCCGAAGACAGTCAACTGCATAACCATCCAAGTTGAATGGTTATGACGAAAACAGTCAACGGCATAAACATCCAATGATTATGACGAACACATTCAACAGCATAACCATACATGTTGAATGGTTATGCCGGCATAAACATCCAATGGTTATGCCGAAGACATTCAACGACATAACCATCCAAGTTGAATGGTTATGCCGAAGACAGTCAATGGCATAACCATTCAAGTTGAATGGTTATGCCGAAGACATTCAACGGCATAACCATACATGTTGAATGGTTATGCCGGCATAAACATCCAATGGTTATGGCATAAACATCCAATGGTTATGCCGCGCGAAGGCAAAAACATCCAATGGTTATGCCGAAGACATTCAACGACATAACCATCCCTGGGCAAGTTGAATGGTTATGCCGAAGACAGTCAATGGCATAACCATTCAAGTTGAATGGTCATGCCGAAGATAGTCAACGGCATAAACATCCAAGTTGAATGGTTATGCCTGCATAAACATCCAAAGGTTATGGCATACTGAACATCCAATGGCTATGCCGAAGGCATAAACATCCAATGGTTATGACGAAGACATTCAACGGCATAAACATCCAAGTTGAATGGTTATGCCGGCATAAACATCCAATGGTTATAGCATAAACATCCAATGGTTATGCCGAAGGCATAAACATCCCTGCAATGGTTATGCCGAAGATAATCAACGTCGTAAACATCCAAGTTGAATGGTTATGCCGAAAACAGACAACGGCATAAACATCCAATGGTTAGGGAAAGTACATTTATTACGCCGAGGGTGGATGAAGATGTCTTGAAAAAGGCTCGTATTTTTACAGGGCCCCTGTTGAGGTTATTGGTAAATGTTCGACGCCCCCCTCCAAGTTTTTTAAAATTTTCAATGCCCCCCCCCCAGAATTCGGAATCGAAGGAGTACAATCCGGAATTCTCTCTTATCATAGATACAATTTGCAGTTCCTCAAGATGTCTGATATACTCAAGCATGTGCTTCTCCTCAGCAAAAATACCGACTTGCTGCTTCTTTCACCTCACTATCGCCAGATGAAATGGCACTGTCTTTAAAAAAACATTTTAGGCTCTAGGGGCAAAATTATCAACAGGTTGTTGTTGTCCGTCATTCAGCGCAGTTGGAGTCTTGAACACGTGGATTTCCTGCATGGGTCAGGGTAATGTGCTGGAACCTTAGAGAACCTCGCCCCCACCCAACGTATCTCCTGGCATCTGTTGCAAATTTCTTTGCATGCCTGGCAAAAATTCATGCAAAAGCGCCAGTATGCTTCAATTTCTTTAATTTTCATCCCGTTTGTACTAAATATCCCGTGAACATAGAACATATCATTCTTACAAATCGTATGCTTTTTTTGTTTTTGGAACTGTTACTTTTTGGCGGGTAAATAACAGGGTGTATAAAAAAAAACTGAACAGACTTGAAATTGCTCTCACTTTCGCAAAACAGCTATTAGTATCCAGTTTTTGATATATATATATATGTTCTTTGGGTACTTATAATGTAGAATAATGAAAAACATTTCTCGAACTCAAATTTTGTGAACCAGGGGGGTGTGTCTTTTCCAACAAACTAAAAATGGCTTGCGCACGAAATTTAAAAGTCCTTTTTCCCCCCAAATGATTTTCAAAAAGAATAGTAGGATTATAACCTAGTTATTTTAGTATTTAGCCATCACGATTTATTCGTATTGTAATATAGTTGTAGTATAATATTTTTTAGTCATAACTTCATGTTGCTAAGAACTTCTGTAATTTAACCTTTTGGTTATACAAAAGGTTAAATTATTTTTAATAAATAATAAATAAATAATGTTTAAAAAAAGAAAAAAAAAGAAAACGCATATCATATAACATCCACGTTGAATGGTTATGCTGGCATAAACATCCAATGGTTATGCCGATGACATTCAACGGCATAGCCATCCAATTTGAATGGTTATGCCGAAGACAGTCAACGGAATAAACATCCAAGTTTAATGGTTAGCCGGCATAAACACCCAATGGTTATGCCGAAGACAGTCCACGGCATGACCGTTCAAGTTGAATGCTTATGCCGAAGACAGTCAACGGCATAAAAAAATTTTAAATGTCGTTTGGGGAGGGGGGCAGTGGTTAAGGGGAGCCGAGCTAATAATATGCCACGGGCCCCGCGAAACGTTAATCCAACCCTGGCTATGCCATTGCTTTTTCGGTTTTTGATTTTTGAGTTTTTTTATTTTTCGGTCTTTGATTTTTGGGGTTTCCGTTTTTGCATGGTTATGAGACATGTTGCCGGAACACCAAAGTTAGCCAACGGATAGAGACAAATGGCTCGCCAAAACATTACTGTATGTATAGTATATTATATAATACCTTATTGAATTCGGATCGTTTAATTGGCTGTTTATGGTCACGTGATATTGAATAGAAAATTCCATTTCCCAAGAGTGTAATGGAATACGTTCCATTGCACTCTTTGCGAGTGCAATTGTACTATACGTTTTCAATATCACCTCATGAAAATATTCTTATCATTGCACTCATAAACATTCATTATTTGTATACTGGCTATTTGTCAATAATATTAAGAGTGACTGATAGAATATCCTCAGAATTTTCGCATTTCGCTTGGCAAGAGGAACCAAGTCGAAAGAAAGCGCTCCATGTGGAGTGACTTTAAATTTTTATAGTGATGTACAATTTTTAATCTGGCCTTCTATTCGGCATAAAAGCGGTGGATAGAACATTGTCCGTAAAAAAGCGCTGTCCGTCCCCAGAAATTCGCAAAGCATTATAGTAGTGCGGAGCACTAAAAAGCTCGGGCCCCAGATAAGCTTGGCAATTAATAGAAAAAGCGCAAGGCTTGGCTCCGTGAAGGAAAGGGTGTAGCCCATAATGTTTTGGCGAGCCATTCGTCTCTATCCGTTGGCTAACTTGGTGTTCCGGCAACATGTCTCATAACCAAAAACGGTCAAGTCCGAAAACCCCGAAAGTCAAAGACCCAAAAATCAAAGACCCAAAAATCAAAGACTGAAAAATCAAACAATGAAAAACCAAAAACTGAAAATCAAAAACCCAAAAATCAAAAACTCAAAAAAAAGGTGGGGGGTGTAGTCCGAAAGGAAGGGGGGCCCAAACTTTTGCGTTCAACCCTCCCCACCTCCTCGACCAGATATCGCTCGGTACGTCCGTGGGTTTACTTTTGAATATTAAGTTTGAATATGTGAAAAGTGAGTTATAATTAGCTACTAAATCGATGAATAATATCACGGCAGTCGGCAGTATGTGTTTTAATCGCCGCTCTACATAATAGCTAATGTTGAATATTATAATGGACCATTATTTGCAATTTACTATCTTCAAATAGAATAAAATCTAAATATTAAAAACCTAGAAACCTAAAAGTATAAAATCTAATAATCTAAAATCTAAAAATCAAGAACCTGAAAATCACGAACCTGAAAATCAAGAACCTGCAAATCAAGAACCTGAAAATCAAGAACCTGAAAATCACGAACCGAAAAATGTAAGAGTGAAAAACGTACTTAGGTATCGCGTCTAGGCTTCCGTAGGCTACGTTCCAAGTTAATATTCACGAAAACCTTTGGAAAAATTCGTTGTAGCTTTGTTAGGGAATATATTTCGCGAACAAAGTTGGAACGCACAAAAGCTCATGTTTATAAACTAAACGATTTTTTCGTAAAAATTGTCGTGTGCGGGCCGGGGTGGGTGGCTTCAGCCCTCCTCCTCCTCCTCGAAACTTGTGTCTGTGTCTAGTTT